TGCTACTTATTTCCCTTATTAGGCCCAGCATTTTCTCAACTGTTTAACTAGCCCACCTTTCCTTCTGGAGTGTCTATTAATGTTTCATAATGCCAAGGCTCGTCAGGATACTGACTGATGCAGCAAAGCACTGATGGCCAAAGCTACTTCCCTGACTCTGGAATCCAGCCACTGACATTCAAATCTCTGCTCTAGCGTTTTTTTAGTGGTTTGCCCTTGAGCATGTTACTAAATTTCTTCGTGCTCAGTTTCCTCGTCTATAAAACAGGAGCAGCAATACTATCAACTTCATAGATTGGTTGCAAGGATTAAGTGAATTATACATATGGAATGCTGAAAACAGAATAAAGTTCATTGTGATGTGATGATGATGAAGATGACAATAAGAAGAAGATGATGATGATGATGAGAACCCTGTCCTGGAAACTTTCCACAGCTTATAAGTATGTTTCTCCCAGTGGCCAGCACTATGATTATGTTTGTCTCTACATCTCCAGCATCCAACACAAGGCCCGGATGCTCCATAAATGTTTGTTGAATGACTAACAGATGGAAATGTGAAGTATGGCATGAGAAATCACAAAAAGCAAGGCTCTTTGGACCATGCTACAGGTAAAAATCAAAGCAATATTTCCCCCAAGAAACAGACTCAAATCTGTCTTCCCAAACACGTAAACAGGTCTCTATTGAACACCTAGAGGACAGAATAACAACTGGATGTCACACATGCTGTCCCATAAGCTGAAATAGCACATTGGCATCTTTGTTCCCCCTTCAGCCAATTTCTTGATCTACTGCTGGCCTGGGTTAGAAACAAAGGTGGCTAACTGTACCATACCATTTTGATCCTTGGTCTTAGAGAATGTGAATGAGAAAACTTACAGAGAGGATCAACAGCTGGTACAAGAAACTGAAGTTGCGACTTAAAGAGAGAAGAAGAGCATCAAAAGTGGAATTGGTTAAAAAAGAAAGAGGGACAGAGAGAAGTCAGGTGGTGGTGGTAGCAGGTGCAGTGGAAACCTGGAAAGAACAAGCTTGGTCAAGCTGCAAAATCAAGTACAGAGCCTCTTCCTGGAGGAGGAAAGCTTTGTGTCCAGCAATGTCCACTGGCCTGGAAAATCCACTGACATTTTGAGGATCCTGAAATGGACGGAAGGAGGAAGGAGGGACTCAGCTGGGAGTCGGGGAGCCAAAATGTGTACCAGCAATAGCAGAAGCCACAAGAGACCCCTTTGGGGAGGATCCTATTACGTGGCCCTGCCCACAGTCCCACAACCAGGGCCTGAGCATTACAGTTATAACAAAAATACAACCTTCTACAAGATACAAGCAATAGTACAGAAGCCAGTCTTGGAATTCTCCCCTTACATGCTGTATTAGTTCATTCTCATGCTGCTAATAAATACATACCCAAGAAGTGGGTAATTGATAAAGAAAAAGAAGTTTAATGGACTCACAGTCCCACATGGCTGAGAAGACCTCACAATCATGGCAGAATGCAAAGGAGGAGCAAAGGCACATCTTACATGGTGGCAGGCAAGAGAGTGTGTGTAGGGGAACTGCCCTTTATAAAACCATAAGATCTCATGAGACTTATTCAGTATCACCAGAACAGCACAGGAAAGGCCCACCCCCATGATTTCAATTACTTCCCACCAGGTTCCTCCCATGACATGTGGGGATTATGGGAGCTACTATTCAAAATGAGATTTAGGTGAGTGGGGACACAGCCAAACCATAACACATGCCCAACTCCTGCTGCAGCCCAGCTCTAGATTTCCTCAGTCCTTCCTTATTCTTCTGTACACATCTACATATTACACACCCATACCTGCAGGCTCATACGTTGCTTACATGGTGATAAGGGTCCCTGGTTCCCTATATCATCTTGTCTGCCTCATCTGGGGCCCACCATGGGGAATGGAGGGAGGCCCCACCCAGGCTGAAAATAAAGTGAAGTACTGGGGAGCAGGAGGAGGCCAAGAGCAGCCTCATGTGGGAACCCAGAGTCATCTCTCCTTGTGCACAGCCTCCCTGTAGCTCACCATTTTGTCTCATTAAAGTCATGCCCTCCCAGCTTCCAAGATTCCCCACTATGTGGCCCCACCTCCCTTCCTTCCACACACACACTTCCATGAATGTTCTCAACTCAGAGACTTCATGCTGGCTGTTCCCTCTGCCTGGGACACTTTTCCCCAAGGCAGTCACCTTCCTCCTTCAAGTCTCTGCACCAGTCCCACATTCCATCAGAGGCCCACCTTCACCCACTAGATACTGCTGCGACCTGCTGCCCCAACCCCTATCTCGGATCCCACACCCTGCATCTGGTAATAAGTCATTTATTTGCTAGGTTCATTGTTAACTGTCCAATCCTCACAAAAATGTAAGCTGTATACCGGAACACATCTCAGCCTATGTTAGTCAACAATGCACTTCAAGTGCCTACACGTGTGTCTCATGTCATAGACACTGGGGAGGAAGTGTTGGTATGGACATGTGGGGGTAGCAGGAGGAAGTGCCAAGTCACAGTCAGAGGAGGTGGGCTTTCCTGCATCCACAAAAGCAGGAGTGCAGTGACTTTATTTGGTTATTAAAGAAAGAGGTGGAAATGTGGGTCACTGAGGTGGTGGAAGGGGTAGGTAGAGAGTTATAGTCTCAAAAATACAAAGAGCCAACTTTCTATGGGGTTGGGATTATGAGGGCTTTGCACTTCTATTTTATATTATGTATATATAGTAAACATGGATTAATATTTACATGTAATAAATATGCATATTTATGTAGTAAGCATATTATATATAATATGAATTGATACATTAATGTAGACATATAAATTCAAATAGATATTTACAAATATATAAATAGAAATAGAAATATGCTTAATGTGCTATATTTGAAATATTATATTTATGTTTTATATATAATTTATATGCTATTTGAATGTTTATAATGAATCTACATGTAGTTTGGGTAATTTTTTAAAATCTTCTATGGAAAAACATAGTGAGTGAATGCACGCAGCAAAAACCACTGCCTGCTAGAGCAGAGACTGGCCCCTGAGATCTGAGGTCGGCCTTTGAGGATGGGGGCAGGGCACCCTGAGCGTTAGGGGAGGACAAGACCCCCTTGTGATATAACCGTCTGGGCCCTAACCTTTATCTAGTCTCCCCTTCTAGTCACAGAGCCCCGATGTTCCTTGGGATAGTGCCGCGCATGTGCGCACGCGCACACTCACACACACATACACACACTGTGTGTGCACAGGTGAGAGTGACCAGGCATCAGAGATTAGTTCAGGGGCGTGCATGTGACCCAGTCAGAGTGTATTCCACGGCCCTTGCTGAAGGCCTAAGAGCAAAGTACATTGACCTTTGAACAACACAAGGATTGGGGCACTAACGGCCTATGCAGTAGAAAATCCACACATAACTTTTGACTTAGCAGAAACTTAACTATTACTAGCCTACTGTTGACCGGTAGCCTTACCATTAACATAAATAGCTGAATTAACACATATTCCGCATGTTATACACATTATACACCATATTCTTACAATAAAGTAAGTTAGAGAAAAGAAATGTCATTAAGAAAATCACAAGGAAGAGAAAATATATTTACTATCTTTTTAAGTGGAAGGGGATCATGATAAAAGTCTTCACCCTCATCATCATCATGTCAAGTAGGCTGGAGAAGCAGGAGGGGTTCATCCTGCTGTCTCACAGATGGCAGAGGCAGAAGAGGTGGAGGAAGTGGAAGGGGAAGCAGGAGAGGCAGGCACACTCCTTGGAACTTTTAGTTTTAAATCCACATGTAAGTGGACCCGTGCTGTTCAAACATGTTGATAAAGGGTCATCTCTACTCTCTTTCCCACTGTTGACAGCCATCCCACCACCATGAGGTGAACTAGCCTGAGGACAGAGCCAGCGCAGAGGGAAGCAGAGGCAGGAAACAGAGCCCCTGCTACACATCTGGACACCTGGCTGCAGCCATGCCTGAAGCCAGCCTGCTCTTGTCCTGCTCAGTGTGATGAGCTAATTGTGCTTAGGTCAGTTTTCTCAGACTCAGTTAATACAAGGGCCCCAGAGATACAGACTTGGGTGTTCTCTAGACTCATTCACAGGGGGAAGAAGCCTGCACGTGGGCTCTCAGCCAGAACGCATGTGGTGATGTTTTGTGACCAGAAAAAACTCCTGGAGCAGTGAGTGTTCCTGCTCCATCCAATATCCCCTTTGCACCCTGCTCCCTAACCCAGAAAAGTATCTTTGCTGTTGCTGGGTACCCATCCCCCACCTTCCATGTGTTTTAGTTTCCAAAAGTCTGAACCTGAGAGAAGCATTTGGGAGTTGACAGTCCTCTGGGGTGGCCCTCAGCCGATGCATGACAATCCCAGGGTATGAAAGCCCAGCTCTCTACCAGCCCTTTCTAGTAACTGACACTCCAGAGTCCCTGCAAGATCAGACTGAAGCGACCCTCATGGGACTCCAGCTGAAGCCTCCTTGGCTTCTTCCCCTGCCCTGCGCTGCTTCCCCTGCCCTGCGCTGCTTCCCATCCTTCACTGTTTCCCTGGAAGCACTTCCTCCACACCTCAACCATGCCTGTGAATCCTCATCTTGCTGCAGAACATGACTTAAGATAGCAGCAGCGAACAGGCGATGCCAGGTGGGCTCTGAGCATCCCCCACAGCCCGGTGTTGGCATGCCTGCAGGTCACCTTTCCTGACCTGCACTTTCCGTCTCATTCTGAGACCACATACAACCACACGCACCCTTGCTTCCCTCCTCTCCCTGGCAGCCCCAAAGCAGAGAATGAGCTGCCTCTGAGATACCCACCACGCAGAGTGGCCACCAGGGCCAGCGTGGCTCCCTGCCCAGGGGAAAGACAGCCACATGCCATGGGTCGCTCAGGCATGCAGTGTCTTATCCTGGCTCTGAACCTGGCCCCAGGCCTGCCTGCACCGTGCTGGTGGACTCCTCCCCTCTCCAAGCTTGCCTTTGTCTTACCACACTGCCTCTGGAATGTCCAACAGTCACCAGCTCAACTCCCATGGTCCACTGACCCGGAGCTCTAATGGGCAGCTCTCCAGACCCTTCTTGGATCGGCCCCATAGTGCATGTGCCAGGACCTGACAATGGGCGCCCAGCTTTTTCTGTTCCTGAAGGCGCGGAGAGCCAGAACTGTATAGTTATTCTGCTACCACTAGCTAAGCATTGACTCAGAACTCTGAGAGAAAAGGAGCCTCTCGCCTCTTAGTGGTGGTCCCTCTCCTGGTCCCTCTCCTGACTCCACAAGAAGTATATAAACCTTGTGCCCACACTGAATGGGCACTGCTGTTTTTGTCTGCCCAGAAGCCACTCCCCCTTCTACCAGTAAGAACGCCCCAGACCGTGTGATTCTGAAGGCTCCAGGGGTGAGTGGGTGTCAAAGACTGGCCAATCAGAGCACAATAAAATAAATAAATAAAACTCTCACCATAGTGATTGGTTTGGGAGGCCCGTGGGCACAGCCAGGCCAGTGAGACTTGATTACTTGACGTGGGATTGTTTGAAGGGAGTGAGATGCTTTCCTTCTCCTGGGTGTGGAGCTGGGAACAGGTAAGCCTGGAGACGCCAGGAGCGACCGTGGGGAGGGTCTGTCCGAGAGGGAAGTCAATACATTCTCTACTCTGTTATTGTTGGGATGCGGCTGCTGTTGTTTTTCTTTTGGTTTTCTGCTTAAGCCAGTGTGAACTGAGTTTTTTCCCTGTCACTTGCAACCAAATGCATAGTGACTAAGAGAAATACCAATGGCCAGCAAGGTGTGATGAAAAAAGTACAAGAGAAGTCACTGCCTCTAGCCAGGCTCTGCTACTACTTTGGCATATGGCTTTGCTCAAGGCCTTCAACATCTAAAACAAAGGCAGTGGGTATATGATGCATAGATCTCTTCCCAGGCTCCGAGAAGAACATGCAAGGCTTGTCTTCACCTTCCTTTCAATGGAATCCTCTTTTGAGGCGCAGTTCAACCTACCAGAATGTCTGCCTCACTGGAACCCTGGGGAAGCCTTCTCCCTGCTTTGGACTCCTGCAGCATTTATTCATCTATGCACTTACTGGTTCTTACATCACCTTGATATTTTCATGCATATGTGGTGTGTCTCCCAAAACCCAAGAGTGGCTAAGCCTGCTGCACTTCACCATCATCCAGGCACTATGCTAAATCCATTACGTGCTGGCTCCTATGCGGGCCTGGCATCCATCTTGCAAGGGGAAGACCATTACTAGCTCAGTCTCCCCACTATGAAGATGAAGACATGGAAGCTGGAAGGAAACAAGTCACTTGGCAGAGGTCACCAGGTGAGATGCGCCAGGACAGGGATTCTTTAAGATGATTAACTTCTGCATCGTACCATTCTGCTTCACAGACACATCCCTGGCAGAGAGTGGCTTATTCTGCATTGCTTCCTTCCGGACATCTGCCGATGGATTCATCTGTGATGAACAGATTTCAGGAAGATGCGGCTCAAGCAAAAGGAAGGGTCAAACGCTATTTGGAGCTGCCCCTCCCAGCAGCCCCAGTCTGTGAGTTGGTGGGGGAAGCATCCCAAGAAGCATACCACTTGCCTCCCAGTTTTGTCCAGACTCCATCTGCCCAGACTCCATCCCCTCCACACAGATCCCCATTCACCACCCGGCCAGGAGGTAAGGAGTCATCCAGGGAGTTCTGAGGCCACCCTCCAGAGCTGGAAGGCAGCTGGCTAACAGACGAGCAATTCTCCCCTGCACCAGAAGAAATCCAGTCCCAATCAAGCGCTGTCACTGTCCACCCATGACCAAAACAACCCGCACTCGTTCACTGACCCCTGAGCTGGATCCAAACATTAATTTTGTTACTGAACAGTGGAACAAACCACAGTGTTTTTTTCCAGAAAAAAAAAATAGTAGACCAGCTTGAACCTGAGCTAAACCTGTATATTTTCTAAAACTACTGAACAGGAACAAAAAACAGACATCAAAATGTTCTGCAAATGTAACCAATCTTTCACTCTATCCAACTTCTTGATTTGGAAAGCGAATCAGGCAGGCGCAGGGGGAAGAGGAGCATTTGACTTCCCTCGAGTGACTCGGTGGAGTGTCTAATCCTGTTCTAAGAACACCGTGTGAAGGTTGGAGACTGGCTTCTGTTCAATGTGGTGGGAAAAAAGTGTTATTTTAATTTTAACCCTCCATAAAGATGAATCAGAAGATCTCAGAGCATTTAGTTCCTGTGGTGTTGAAGAAAGCATGTCAGGGATTGATCCATTATAATAATATATCCCGAAAGCATCGGCTGAAAGGACAGAGCCTTGGGTCCTGGCCCCACTGCCTCAGTGGCCTTAGGCCTCTTAGAGGGGCTGGGGTCACCAACAGTCAAGGTCAGGTGTGGCTCTCGACAGCCTGACGTGGTTGAGCATGGAGGGGCCCACATGGGTATCATCTTTTAGAAAGTCTGATTCACACAGAAACAAAGGCAACAAGACTTCATGCCCCAAGGAGAGAGGGGCTGAGTCTGCTGGACTTGCCTTCCCAATCTCACTCTCCCAGCTGCTGCACAACGTGGCACTCAGGGTCCCAGAGCAGGAAGCAGAAAGCCTATCTGCAGAGAGTCTCTCACTCTACCACTAAACAAATGTGGGTCACACCAATCCCACAGCCTGAAGAAAATGCAGTGTGGACAATAAGGACCTGACAGAAAACAGGTTGGGCGAAGAGCACAACCATTGACTCTCCACACCTCCAGAACATGAACAAGTGAAAAAGATGGTTCCACCAGCCGAAGACCAATTCCGTCTGTTTTAAAGACTAAGGGCAGTCAAAATGTCAACAGTAGGGACTTCTGGGGTGTGGGAATGCAGAGTAAGGGGCAGAGGAGAAGCCTTCTGCTTTCTATTTTACACTCGTATCTCTCCTTTGGCTCCTTCATGAGGAGCATCTGTGCACTGCATTGCTAATGTTGAAAATAAAAGGCTAACAAGCACACTTACATACACAGCTAGGCATATGTCAAAGGTGGAAACCACACAGGAATGGTGACGGATTTGACTGCATAAAACTTAAAAACTTCTAAATATAAAAAATGAAATTACCTTAAACTATATTAGGAGAAGTTGTTTATAATACAAAATATAGCAAACATTTATTATTCTTGACATATAAAAAACATTGAGGGAAAAACTATACTCCAATAGAAAAATGAGCAACAGATGTAAATGAGCAGTTCATGAAAGATGACACACCAATAGACAATAAACATGAAAACGTCCATTCTCACTAATAATTAAGGAAACCCAACTAAAAGTCAAATAACATTTTTGCCTATCAAACCAGCAAGTATGTTTAAAAATTTTTAAGTACTTTTTGATAGGAGGCCAGACAGGAAAACAACCTCATATACTGTTCTAGGAGGATTGCAAAACCTATTAATAAACTTTTAAAATATGCATAAACTTTGTCATAGCAAATCCATTTTTAAGCAGTTATCCCCAAGGAAAATCATCATGGCTAAAGAGGCATGCGTTTGGATGTTCAATGAAGCACTGTTTATACAAGCAAAAAGTTGGAAATAGCCTTGCTGTCTAAACAACGAAGGACTGACTTAATATATTATGGCACTACACACAAGGAATCACTATGCAGCTATTAACATGTGGATAGACAAAAAAATATGAAACAACATGGAAATTTTCATGATATATTGTTAAGGGAAAAAACTAATTACAAATGGCATGTATAATATGAAACCACTTTTAAAAATAAATATAGATATATGTCTGCATTTAATTTTTTAATAGCTGATTACAGGCAATTTTTGTTTTCCTCTTGTAATTAAAATTTTTCATTTGTTAATAAAAAATACCCAGTATTGAAATGCATCTAAGAATCATTTTCAAATAATCAATTAGGAAACAACCATCTTTAAATCACCAAGTCCAAAAACATATCAAATAAGATAAAGTAGTATCAATTGTCCCAAATAACCCCTCCAATTAATCATCTATGCATTTTTTTGTAAGACCACAGAATCTGACTTCATACAGATGAGGTAATTGCATTGCAAAACTTGTTGGACCAGGACCGTGTTCTAAAATCATAACCTACTCTTACCCACAGAAAATAAGAAAATAAGCTTGCTCCCTTATTTTTCTAGAAAAAAAATAATGTATCATCAAAACTCAAGGTGGAAAGCCTGAAGCCAGATTTTATAGGGTTCTAGGGTCACAGTAGTTTGGTTCTCCAATGACATTGCTTTGTGGTAATGTGAAACTTAGATTTCCAAAGAAGGAAAAGAATAGCCTTGAAGACCAAATGCCATCTGCAAGCTGCAAAATACTGCTGTGCAATGCTAAGGACAGAGATAAAATAGCAAAGAAGGAAAATTATACATCCTTAGTGCCTGATATAACTCTTCTGGTGCTAGAAAACACACACATATGTGCATGCACACCTGGCACATAGTAGGTACTCAGGAAACACTGACTGAATAATATTGTCAGTGCTTTCACTAGGTTTCTCTCACAACCCCTCTTTGACCATTCACCCTTAACCAGAAGTATTTTCTCTCAGTGGAGTCCAGCAAAAAACATGTAGGCCACAGGACTAAATAGGACAGTATATCTCAATGAAGGGGAAAGCTGGACTCAGGAGAGAAGTGTAAACAGGACATGAATAAATTATCCCACTAATACCTCTTCTCTGTCTCTAGAGATATTCTTTCAAGCAGTGCTAACCTCCAGAAATAGTGAAGGATAACTGGCAAATTCGTTCATTACTCCTTGTGAGACACATCAATGTCCTGGAAAGGTTTCCTTGTTTCATCCAAGTCCTTCAGGCAAGGTAGGAGGACAATGTGCTCACCTACATGTGAATTTCTATTGTCCTTAAATGACTCTCCACACAACAGAATTATAAGCAGATCTTCTATTATTGTATTGTTGATCTTCCCCCAAATCCAGACAATGGTCCCTCTTGATCTTTGACCTAACAAGTAAATAAAAGTTCATTTCTAATGCTATATTTTAACTGAATAATGAGATTTTAAAAGCAATTTATCTTCACTAGTTTTTAGCCCCCATGGAGTTTTTTTTCCCACT